GTAAAATATTGAAATTCTATCTAAATAATGTAATGATTAATAATTTAAATTTAATAAATTTAAATATTTATATACTATTGTAATATTTCTGAAAATAAAATAAATGTTTATATTTTAATGTAACAGATTAACCATATATGCTGTATGTTAAAAATCGTTTTTTGTTTAATATTGAATTCAACTCAAACCAATATTGATTATAAATTCGACACTATACACTTATTGGACAGACTTTATTCAATTATAATAGTATCTACGGAATATTGTAATGTTTTTGAATTTATTTTTCATGAATTATTTTGTCATATGACTTAAATACAAATATTATTAGTTTTTAAGTGTAGTTTAAACAATTTACAACCAATAAATCAAATGAAAACTCAACTATTATATTTTTACAATTATTATTTTGTTTCAAATTATTAAGTATATTATTATAGTAAAAAATAATGAATAGTATAAGATAATTATACCATTAAATGTAGTATATAGATTGGTCGTATGCACCAATATGTAGTTTTTGCAAAATTAATGTAGATTTTTAATTAACACGAATAAAACAGTAGAAATAGTATAATCACATTCCGCTTGAGTACAAAACCATTTTTATTGCTTGGTGTTATTTATAGTCGTAATAATATTGAACATTTACATGTTAGATACAGTCTATAAATTACCTTATAGTCAGTTGGTTCCCAAAGCAATTTGCTTAGTATTTAAAAGTTAGGAAAAGATAAACGGTTGTTGAAAACATGAGACCATTCCGTTATATTAATGGCAATGAATACGTAATAATTGACATGTACTGTAATTTCATAATATATTAAATGATTATCAGTGATAATAATTGTCTATCAATAAATTAATATGATTGACTGTCAAAAATGAAGTATGATTATACATTTTATAGAATTCCAAATATCATTGGAACTTTAATTTATAACCATTATGATAGATGGTAAATTAAATTTTATTGTAAATAATATTTCTTATTATTTAACATAAGTTTAGAGTCGAAATTGTTGATCAAAAACCGTTATTTATTATTAGTTAACGAATTATTTGTCTTGCATATAAAAATATTATGAGTCCATTATCATGGCACATGGATATTTTCTTTCAATATTTATCAAACGAAATTGAAAATTTGTATGTTTATTCTTATCACTTGGAGAATATATTTTTGATAAAATTATTATTGTAGTAAAATAGTTTATGGCTATCAAGTGATGGATAATACATTTTGTAATACATTTAAATTATTACAATATTACAGTTTGTTAATAGGTACCTATAAGAATCGTACAATATTTATTGAATAATGTTTTTGATTAAAAGCGTCCTTAAATATTTATACCCTCTTTGATTTTGATTGAAAAATACAACTTTTTGTAGTAATTTTAATTATATTATAGGTATATATATTAGTATTGAGTTATATCTGTTGACTAAATAAAAATAACACGATAAATACTTATACTAGAATGCATATAAATTGCCTATAATACTCCGTCAATATTAAATAATTTTTATATTAATTTTTTATTCCAGATTATATAAAAAATAAATTGAAGTTTAAAAATTATAACTGATTAGTGGGATAATTTTTGGTTCTATAATTTGAGAGCATATCATAGAAAAAATATTTATATTTATATTGCAATATGTATTTATGTTTTTATTGTATTTTATTGTCATTCTACTGAATCTCTTTTTATTACTGTTTATTATCAATTTAACTTTAGATTTCTATTTTCAATCTTAATTGTACATGCTTTGTACTAATAATTTAGGGATAGTACAATAAATATTTTGTAGTTCTAACAACAATCGATTGATTAAACATATCGGATAAAACGGCACGAATGAATGATTCTTTCGTCGTTATTCAAATTATCTAATTTATAAATAAAAACAATAATTTTGTCATTGAGCTAAATTAATAGTATTTCATTTGAAATAAAGTTTTAAACGAAGATTACATTTTAAAAATATACATCGTTCATTTTTTTTTTTTTTTTTAATATTTTGATAGGTACGTGTAAGACAATAAGTAACTAGTTCAAAAGTTTTTTCAGCGTAGTAAATAATCATTATTAAATATTGAAATACTTTACAATATGTTATCATTAATAGCCAATTATTTTTTTATTGTTAATATTTATTTAATTTATCAGGACCTTTATTCATAGCATTCATAACATGAAGAATTATAAGATCATACTAGTCTTACCAATTTAAAATTTTAATTATTTTCATTTTAACAAATTTAAGTTGATATGTATCATGCATGATCATCTAGTTTGTTTTATAAGAGACAAATATTTATAATATCATGTGTAATGCGTTTGAGTTCTGATTAAATGTTCAAAATAGTCGTTAGATATCATATACATAGATATCAATCATCCAGAAAACAGTTCATTACAAAGGTCAAGGGTTAATTAGTAATTATTGATAAAATAGGTCATTCGGTTAAAAATGTGATAAATGTGAAACTAATTTTTACTTAGGTTTTTTAATTTTAACCAAGGAGGAAATAATTTGTTGGGTTATTTTTAGCTTTACATATTTTTTGATGCGAAAATAACTAAAAAGTTCCCTGTTAACTTGTCAAAAACCACAAGGTTAATCTTACATTAATCTCACAAGCATATCTGTAGAATACTAGAACCTTAATTTTCTAAAGTAAGTTGAGTAAAACAAGGAAAATAAACAGCATTCTGTTATCTGACACTTGTACCTTGCCCGTTTTGTGTCATTATTGATGTCTATGATTTGACAGTTTTTGATGAAAACCTATTGTGTCTGAAGATTGGAGTCAACCAAAATATAGGAGAATAATAAAATATTAATTGGAAGAGGAATTAGAATTAGGTATTAAGGAATTTAGAATTAGGTAACTATTCAGACAATAAATGTTTAACCTTTGTACTGTATTATTATTATTATACATAGTACATATACAGAATATTTAACGTTATATGTCTATATACATATATATATATGTTACGGTAAAAGATGAATATTGGTGAATGTCGTCATTCTCCGGTGAATGACGTCTTTTACTAAAATGATTCGATTATGTAGGTAAATGATGTAAAAAACCAGATTTGAAATTCAAATGTACATCTTTCACCGGTCATTGATGTCATTTACCAAAACTAGTGGTAAATGATGATAAATCTCAAATAATACACTGATTTTTTTACTACAGGTACTATTTATAATAATGATTTATTGTTAAAATAAAAAAATAATAAAATAACAAAATACATGCATATTACAAATTATTTATTTGTACAATTTTGGTTACTATGACATTTTGAACTGCACAACACTTCCACTGCATTGCAAGCACATTTTTTAGTACCACAACCAGTTTTGCAGTTGCATCGATTAAATCCTTGATGGCCAGCTATTCCATGTCCTGCTGTTTCTCTTTATGTTATTTCTCTGTCTTTAATTTTTTTCATGGCTTCATCTAGTTTTAGAAATTTTTCTTTACATGGAGAAATTTGTGCTCGTGTATATTTGTGTTTCAACACCCCATATTCTATCATTTCTGTCACAAATGTTTACAAATAATATTATAAAACACACATTCGTAGCAAATACAACTCGCTATAATATACCCGTCGATACTAACTAATAAACTAAAAGAATATCTCACATTATTACTCGGGTTATCGACGTTATTGCTAGTTGGGATTTTCGTTTATAAAAGTATTAAACATCATTCTCCAATTAAACTGGTGATTGACGACAATAACCGGAGAATGTCTGCATTTACAACGTTTACCAATTTTTAGGTAAATGATGTCATTTACCGGGAAATGACGTCTTTTACCACGTTTACATCATTCACCGTAACATATATATATATAGTAGAAAAATGATCAGCGAAATTCTTCATAAATGTCAAAATAAATGATTAATACTGAACATTATTTCGAAATACAATCATGGATATAAATTAAAAGTTTAACTATAACAACACTTTTTTAGCAAACCTTCATAGTTAAGTTCAGCGTTATATATTTTGCTAATATATGGATAAATCAGCATTTTTTTCCCAAGGTAATAAGAGCAGAGATAGAAGCATCTATCCTCTTATGCTCTTCCGACAGACCTAATTGGTTTTTTTTCAGCCACAGGCAATATCAACCAAACGAAAAAATAAAAATAAATACCGTTTTCTCTATTGTTATTTTTCCTTCGTTATCAAAATAGTCATATTTTCTTTAAAATTTTATCAATATTAAAAAAATATATTTAAAAACATATACAATATAATATAAAAACATATTTTAATAATCCGTGTTTCTGCTGGATCTTGATATGGAGATGATCGATTTTATAATACCGTTGTACACAACATTTAGGAAGCCGAGTAAAATACAAGCAAAATATGAGTTGGGTCAGAGGTTCTAAAAACTGTGAGGCACGCCTCTCATGAGAGGCGCAATCATTTATTAGTGGAGGCGAACATTTATATTGTATATTGGTACAAGCATATATTTGTTTTTAGGTCGACATTAATTCTCTTATATTTAAATGAAAAAATATGTCTTATTGGGAGGCGCGATTAATTTTTTCAATAAATTCAATGTCATTGGTTTCCGTGGTCGGCCTTCGACACTAGTCACATAGGTTTATACTTATTAAATCAACGAAAAACATGTATTCGATTGATTCAAATGCGAATTACAGAATCAAATATGTAAGTAGCCACCGAAACCAACCGCCAAACGTATGGCATCGGATATTTTTTTTTTATGTTTTCGGACAAGATGCTCCGCTGCCGGTGTTCGTATGGCGATAGAATAATTTCTCGTTGGCCGTGAAAAAAAACCGCTCGCTTCGCATGCGATCAAAAGCGTTTCGAAACGGTGCGCCGTATGATGATCGGCCGCGAGGTCGTGACGGTGCCGAGCGAACGTGTAAGGGCAAAGGTGGTGGCCGCATGACCAGCGGTACGACGGCCGTTTAGTGTACAACCGGCAGCGGCACGACGACGATGACGAGACCGGACGCGACGGACCCGAGCGGAACGCGGCGTCGCGCGGCCGCGATGTGCGCCGTGTCCGCCTGTCTGCTGATGGCCGCGGCGCACTGGCCGCGGCCCGTCGACGGTGCCCACGTGCTGGCCGTGCAGACGGTGCCGGCCAAGAGCCATTGGTACTTCATGAGAGGCGTGCTGCGCGCGCTGGCCGACCGCGGACACCGGGTCACCGTGTACACCCCGTTCCCGGACCGCGCGGCCGCGGCCCACGGCAACTACACCGAAGTGGACACGCTGTCCGAGTACGGCGACCAGGTGATCGTCGGCATGGACCTGACCACGGTGGCGACGCTGGCGCGACCGTTGTTCATGGTACCGTTCATGGGCAAAACCAGCCGTTTTATTTGCGACATCATGGACGGGCTGCGGCTGTCCGACGCGGGCCCGTACGACGTGTTCATCGCGGAGCCGGCGAGCTGCGAGTGCGTGTCGGTGGCCGCGCGCCGGCTCGGCGTGCCGCTCGTCTACACCGTGCCCGCGCCGCTGCAGCCGTGGGTCGAGACGGCCGCGTTCGGCCACCACGTCAATCCGGCTTACGTGCCGCACGTGTTGTCCGCGTACTCGGTGCTCGACACGTTCTATCGGCGACTGCACAACGTGGGCCTGCACGTGTGCACCGTGTACTTGCACCACCTGTACGTGACCGTGGCCGCGGCCGTCCAGCCCAAGCACTACGACCTCGAGCCGCCCGTCAAACCGTCGCTGGTTTTCGTCAACACTCATTACGCGACCGAGCCGTCCAGGCCGGTGCCCGTCAACCGCGTGGACGTGGCCGGCATACACTTGAAACGGCCGAAACCGTTGCCTAAGGTGAGTGTTTTTTATTTTACGCTTGCGCACGTTCCCGAAGCGTCGTCGCGCGTTCATACAGACGAAACCGATACGGTAACGTTGAGCGCCGGCTGAACTCTACTTAGATCTGAATTTACGAGGGAAAATGATAAACGTTCATTACCTCACTGGAAGAGCGTAATTAGCTGCGCCTAAATATTTGCCACCTCGGAACAACTGTTCCTTTTTGCACTTAGGTTAATAAAATCTTTTAGTCTGATACGAGAAACGTATCAATTTTTCATTTGGGTGAGCAATAAAATATTATTTAAATTTTTCACAAAACACATTTGTACCACTATAGTTACTCGGATGTTCATTCTACGGTTCTATATTTTATTCAACCTCGCTCATTTTTTGCATTTGATATTATTACTAATTTGTGTTTTTGACGATATACATTTGTTTTCTATCTCTTATTGTAATGTCGACTAGTTAACAATACGCGTAATCAGATACACGACTATCCGTTTACTGAATAGTATATTTTTTGATGTTGACACGCACAGTATTTTCAAGTTGATATGTTTATCTATTCCCTTTTACAAGTTCTCAAAAATAACATTCTGCCTATAATTTTTTTATTTTTTGATTATTTTACTTATGATGAAGTAATCAATGATGAAGAAACATCAACATGCAAATGTTATGCGTGATAACATTAAGAAATTCGTTGTTCAGTACACTGAATAATCATATATCTGATCACGGTTGTTTTTAACTAGTTGACCTTAGAACAAGAAAAATCAAACAAAAAAAAAAAAAGTATAATAGATACAAGTCGGTGATTATTTTAAATGTAAAAATAACAAGGTTGAACATAGGATAAATCCGCAGATAGAATATCCAAGTTATTACAGTAATACTGCATAGAGTACTATTAAGATGATCAGCGGCCGATATACATAATAAGTTATAAACACCAGGTTTATATGGTATTTTTATACGATTGGAAGAGAAATAATTGACATTTTGTTTGAAGAATGGTATGGGTGGTTTAGGGAAAGGTTTAGGATTTTGGTAGTGTAAACTGAATCAGCAATTAATTCCGTTTCGTTTACGATGGGATTACCAGGAGGATTGGTTGGTCTTAGACTTAGACTCTCTTAGTGATTCAAAATGATTTCTATATGAAAATATTTTAATTTAGTTTATATATTGAAGTATTTATTAAGGATAGGGGTTCCGAGTTTGATTAGTTTAAGTGATTACGTTAATTAACATTTGTTAAATATTTAAGAGACATAGATTTAATATATTTTACATTTGCATTTGTATGATGATTATTTTGGTTATTTTTATGTTTTATTGTATTGTTAATATCACTTGCACGGAATCAAGGTAATTGAAATGATGCGACGTATTTAATTATGTGACCAAAAAGCACCGTCGCAGTGGTGCCTTATAGTGAGATTAGGTGGATACTATATAACCGTGCAATATAGGTATTAATTAACTCAACCATTTATATTTACTTTCTTAGAAGAAAAGAAAAAATAATGCTTTGAATATTGTGTTCATTGATGTATAATACGAAATAATTCGGTGGATTTAAGCGACTTTCATTTAAACATAACACGGATACAACTAAAATGACTGCATATAGTTCTGAACTATCAGTTCAGCTATCCGCGCGAGACTCTCTCGGTAAATTAGTGTAAAGCTTTTATGTTTATCAAATGATTCTCTTCAAAAATCCAACCAACTTTTGAAGTTCATTTCAACGGCAAAGGTGAACTTAACGTCGTTAAATCATGTTCAGCCAGACATTCCATGTCCGACACACTACTGATGTCGACATCTAATTACAAATCATGTTAATATTCAATGTGACAATTATACTTTTACAATATTATAATATTTGTAGGTCATCGAGTTTTCTAAACAGAATGAACGGGAATCTATGAATATTTAAATCGGTGCATTAAGAATTAATGTTAATGACTGTTTAATCCGTATTATCACAATATTTTTGTTCATTTTGTATTATAACGAACACATATGTATGTGTTAATCTGTTAATGTGATCTCATAATGTAAACGTAATTTATTAGTGTATCGTAATTATTTGATGTCTTGACCGACAGTTCATCAACGGTTCGAACGATATTAGTTATCTTAAAATTCGTGTAAGCATTATTGAAAAAAAAAAAAAAAATTAAATATATAGCCTATACCGTCATGTTGTCTATACAACACGATATCATAAAATATTTTACGAAGGTATTTAGGTTATAGACAAGTATAATGCAACCGATTCTTATTTGTTTTTTGTGAGCATATCTATTTCGATATCGTACACATATGAATGAAACTCATAATGGTTTGGTGCGGTGTTACGTTATTGCTTGCATTGTTTAATAAACGTAACAGGCCATCTTTATTGTTCATGTAGAATAGTCTACGGGATTTGAGTTTATTTTGAAACAAATTGAAAAAGAGTGGAACGAAATATCGGATGAACTTCACGCCAAAACGAGAGTGCACAAGATGAAACATTAATAATTAAAATATGTTCCCCGTTTGTGAACAATACTAGTATAGAAATCTGTGTACAAAATGTGATGGGTACTGGGAAAGACCAAAGCATTCGAATAGACAAAGGAAATGAATGCTGTACTACACGTAACAGGTGTTTATAAGACTACTCAATGAGAATGGATTAAAAAATCCACAAATTCCTAATTCTACTGGAAACAATATGTAATATAAGAGTACGTCCAGATTATTTTTATCGTAATATTTTTGTATTTAAAGTGTATCCAATATCTCGATTAAAAATGTATTTTAAGTTTTCCAAAATACGTACGTTAAGTACGTAGTTACGTTAACTACGTTAAGTAGCTAATTTATATAAAAGTCAATTGTCAATCGTACGTTTTTTTTAATATAAATTGGGCTATTATTGTTTTTAAATATAAAAGCATCCAAAATAATCGTAAAAATTACCAAGTATAGTTTGGAAAATTTTTTTACCAATTAATTAACTTTTTTTAAAAAATATAGTATTATCAAATTATTCACAGCTAATTTATTTTAGGTTTAACTTTTATATGTAAAAAAAATATATATATATATATATAATATACATTTCTATATAAGGAAATCGTGAGATCTAAAAAGTAAAATTGATTTAAAGTTTGAATGATAATAGTGAACAAATACAAAACTTCAATAACTACGAATTGCTCTAAATTACGACGAACTCGTTGATTATATAATATTTAATCGCTAAGTCCTATGGCTATAACTAATTTAACTGATATTGATACTTAAAAAACATTAACGCAATCTATGAAAATTATAGATTTTTTTACCTTCGTAATCTATATAATATTGCATTTAAATGCCATGCATTCACTGATTAGCATAAAGTCAAAATTATTATAGCGATCCATTTGAAATTTTAGGAGCTGTATTTATTACTAAATATAAGTGTAAAAAGGAAAGAGATTTTTCAAAACAGAATTTTTGAGGGCCGAAATAGTTTTGGGTTGGACGTGTACATTTTTTTAATTTTTGGTTTCCTAGGAAATATTTTATTCTACTTAATATGTTGATTTTAATAATTGCCAACTAAGGTATAGGTTGATTTATGTAGTCTGAATAAATAAGCATAAATATCATTAGAATATACGATGGTTGAGCATTTTTTCTGCCCACATTTTTTTTTACAGTAATATAGTTATGTTATTCTAATTTAAAATAATAAAATATCTTCAGAGCGAAGTCGAGTAATTCAGCTGGTATTGTGTATTTACTTAGTTATAACGAATATTCGACTATAACATTAACACAAATTAAAAACTAATTGATAAGAATTTAAGAGATATGAATCATTAAATAACCTATACATACTGTAAGATTAAATTAAAAGATTGCATGAAATATAAATGTCTGAAATGGTTAAAAGTTTACAAGTTATATAGTTTTTATATTTTTCTAATGCGTTATATTTATCTTTAACAATGTGATTACATTTTAGTTAAACAGTTATAATAAATAAGTATAAATTATTGTAACAACAATTTGGTGAGCACAAAATAAACGATATCGGTTTATAAAAGAGTATTTTACCATTAAATTTATAGGACCAATAACTTAATAGGTATCGAATCATATTGATATATTTTTTTTCTGTTACACCTACATTGAGTAGTAAATTTGCAGAGGAAGGGTTTTTTATTTTTTATTTATGAAAATTTGTAGATTTACAATTAACTTCAACAATTATATATAAAACTAATATAATATAACATAATATATAAAAATAAGTGTTTCAATAATTTTAAGAAGGTATAGGAAAAAAAGATGGAGGGAGTAAGTGGTTGTCAAATGTAGTTAATAGAAGTAATAATGGATTAATTATGGCTTTGAAATCCTCGAGAAATTTGGAGATTAGGCTTTTAGGTGTAGATGTTGAGGGTGAAGTGTTGGCAGTAAAAGTGGGATATGAACGATTTTGTTTCTGGTTGGAATTGGAGGTGATTTTGTTTATAGACGGAATGGTGTGATTGAGCACCGGATGACAATACATTTTGAGTGATGGAGATTTTCTGCGATTTTCACTAAGTTTTTAAAACACTGGGCATATTTTGTATGAGGCTATGTGCGGCCCCGGACATAGGGCACACTTGGCAGGTTCTGATGGTGATTCGATACAATCTAAAGTGTAATGGTTTTATCCACATTTGACGCAACGTGGGTATTGGTGGCAAAAGTTACTAGTGTAATAATAAGCTTCAAAATCATATCATTGTGGAGGGGAGAGTTTTATTGCTCTTATTACCAGCAACTTTTAGATCAATTCGAAAAAGAAGCAAAGTTCTTTTAGTGGTACGATGTAAAATATTAGAGACCCGAATAACTTCGTGGTCAATATTTAATAAGCTGGCTTGTATGTCTTCTACAGCAGGATGGTTGGAGGTGCCTGATAAATACAGCATATGGTTTCATACTATTAGGCAGGTATGCATGGA